GGGACCTTCTAGCTGCGAGGTGACGGTGCTAACCACCAAGCCACCCATAAACTTTTATTCCATTTAAACTATAACCTCAGTTGTCTAAGGATATACTGTTATTATTATGCTTATCATAACTTTCTTCTACACCTTAGGTCTGCTTTTTTTTCTTCTATCCAGCGCTACCTGAATATGAGATCTGCAGAAAACAGGCACATATGTTCATCTTTGGCTTTTTGTTCATGTGTAGCTGTCCAGTTCTAACTTCCTGTTTATAAAGCTATTTTACCAGCTAGCAATTGAATGCCTCCTCCAACCAGTTTACAACCATGTCTGTCCAGACTCCTACAATATACATAGTGAAGTCTAGTGTCTAAGTTAAATAAGAGAAACAAAAAACCCCAAAATTAGTGTCACGGATTCAGTATCTGATCAAACGTAAAGCATGATCACAACCTAAATGTGTTTTTGCAGAAGATCATAATGTGACAGTGAAGTTTAATTTTGACCTTTTGGATGTAAAATGTCATCATTTTATCTTATTTGTGTGAACGTTTGTCATGATTTGCACGTCAACTCAGGCCAAAAAGGTACTTTGTGAAGTCCCCTTGGCATGTGATCAGTTGACTCTGGAGTCCAAGTGGATGATTACATGAAGACATTTCCTCAAAGCATTCCTAAGATATTCCTTCAGGGACAGGCAACACCAAAAATCTCCCAGCCTTCGATTGTTGCCGCTGTGCAGGAGAAACGGCGTACCACACTGACCAATTCTTCACAACTACGAGGAAGCTACAGTGGAAAGTACCTGCTCTACCTGTTTACCAGAGTCCATCGGATACACACAGTACATCACACTGACTCATGCAAATTAGACCAGTTTCACCACATGGTGCTGTATCGCCAAAGTGCTATTATAAAGCATGAGCATGTTGTATGTACGTGCACACACAAACACAAACATGTTTCCGTGACTAAAAAGTACATTACGTTAACCTACACTTATTTAGTTGAGACTTAATCCAACTCCAACCCTAAACCAAGTCTTCAAACATTCAATGATCCGCATTATGGGGACCAAAGTCGAGTTTCCACGATGTGACTCTGTTTCTTGATGTGTTTTGGTAACGACAATCCAAAATCCACTTTGCAGCGTTTTATATTGAAACCAAACATTTGATCTTGCCTTTATTTTTAAGCCGTATTGCCTGACGAACAAGGAAACAAATGCAAAGAATTTAAATGTTGGTAGACAAATAAAAGAAACATTTAATTAAGTTGACAGAAAGTCCAACAGGTCACACCTGTATGCATGAAACTTAAGCCCCACCCCCGTAAATGGGCCACACAGCAGCAATCTCCGCAGAGCTAAACATTATTAAGACCAGATCCTTTGCCAAAACTTTGTGTGTTGGCACATGACAAAGTCCACCATGACAGATCCCCTGCACTTGCAAAAAAACAACCGCCAATAAAAAAAAAAATAAATCAAAGATTAACGTTTTGTGGTCTCTGGCTCCTTTTAAGTGGTTCACCGAAACTTTCTCAAGCTAGACCTCATACTTAGAATATTTTGAAGAAAGCACTACTTTGTTCATCTTATTTTGGTCATCTGGCGAAGTTTCTGCCAAAACATGTCTGGTTTATTTCCTGAAGATGAATCAAAGTCCTTCTTTTGTGTGTTTTGTACTTCATCTGTACTTCTTTTTTCTGTCCTTTCACTTTAGTTTTGAATGCCGTTTTTCATTCTTTTAAAATGTTTTTCCCCCCTTTAAATGTTTTTTTCTTTTGCTCTTTAGCCTTTGTTATGGAGATAAATGGAGAGCGAGACAGGAAAGGCAGGAGGAAGAGTGGAGGAAGGACACGCAGCAAACGAGTCTGACTCAGTCCATGGGGTCGGGGATTTTCGCTCGCTCAACCTGTTCAGGCGCCCTCTTTCTAAATATTTTAATGCACGATGTGAACTTAAAATGTGCAGTGCAAATAAACTTGCCCGTCCTTGCCTGCTCTCCATTATTAGTGCATTCAGTTGGGGGAAGAGTATCTACTTGTCTAATCAAAATGACTTCTATGCTGTGCAGCACCAGGAAGTATTTACGAAGTGTCCTCTGGGGGTCCTCAACGTTTTCCAAACAACCAGAGAACACTTTGTAAACGCTGAGGTAAGAGGCTGGCACTTGGGAAGCTTCCCACATTCTGCTTGGGTGCAGCCCTGAGAGTTACTCAAAGTGAAACCGAAAGTAAGACACACCCCAAGTCTTGTCCAGACAGTAGCCCAAACACCAAAAATAAACCACAGTGATGATTCAGTTACCAAAACAATTGAATGGAAAGCACCTAGAGCTCTTGCACGGGAGAAAAAATTACTTTCAATTCTGTTGTGTTGCACATACAAGACAAAACTAGAGTATTCCTGCAAACCCTGATATTTCATGTACATTAGATTTTAATATTAGGCTTTTTGATAAAGCTTAAACTTTTAAAAACTTAAATTAAAGTCTTTAGTTATGCTGCTGTTGGCTCAGGCTGCAAAAATGATGCACTGAGCATCTCTTCTCTCCTCTTTTTCACTCTCACACTTACAGGCCACTTCTGCATGGCATTTACATTTTGCCTTATTTCTCTTGTGCATTTTCCCTTTCCACTTTCTCCCTAAACTTTCCGGTCTGTGGTTGCTGAGCTCACCAACCTGTCGGGTGTTTGTTACCCTCCTAAACCCATCCGGTAGAGACTGATGGCTGCCCTCCCTGAGCCTGGTTCTGCTGTAAAAATCACCAGGCACTTGTTCAAAAAAAAAAAAATCACTGCATTCATTTGTCTGCTCTTTATAATATCCATCCATCCATTTTCTATACACCGCTTAATCCTCATTAGGGTCGCGGGGGGGCTGGAGCCTAACCCAGCCGACTTAGGGCGAAGGCAGGGGACACCCTGGACAGGTCGCCAGTCCATCGCAGGACTACACTTAGAGACAGACAACCAAGCACACTCACATTCACACCTATGGACAATTTAGAATCACCAATTAACCTCAGCATGTTTTTGGACTGTGTGGGAGGAAGCCGGAGAACCCGGAGAGAACCCACGCTGCACGGGGAGAACATGCAAATTCCGCGCAGAAAGATTCCGGTGCCCCCACCGGGACGCGAACCGGCAACCTTCTTGCTGCGAGGCAACAGTGCTACCAACTGCGCCACCTTGATAATATAACATAACATTGCAAATTTAAAAAAAAAAAAAAAAGAAATGCCCTGAAAAAACTGTTATTGAAATGAAGGATACGCAGTAAGAGTTTGAACTAGAACTCATATTAAAGTTGTAGGATGATGCTGATGATAACTTACCCCTGGTTGAGTCCATGCTCTCATGGATGTCTGTTGTTGTACCGAATCCAGTCTTGGAAGCATTTTCGAGGTCATCTGTGACCCCCACTGCCATGCTACAACCTGTGCTTAAAAAAAATGAGTAATCTTCCCTGACAGTTTGATCGTCTTTTGTTAGCAAATGCATAAAGCTATCGTCTGAGAGTCCACATTTTGCATTGTATTGTGCTTCTACAGTCAAAGAAAACAAGTCGTCCGCTGCGTTTGTCCTCTCCTCTGACCAGCAGACATCCAGGTGACTTTGCAGCTTGTCTGTGAGGTTGTTGTTTGTGTCCGTTGCTGCGCAGGCTTCAACAGGTGAGGTGATTCCTTCAGCTCCAAATACATCAAAATCATCCGTTGTTGTCCAACAGTTGTGTGTGGAGGCATAGAGGCCTTGTGGTGCCTCAGAGGCTTCTTCTGCATCCAGAGAGAAGCTGTCCGTAAACTTGTCAAGTGTCCTCAAAGCAGCCGCAAGCTCCATTTCCTCATTCATATCCCAAGCGGAGCTTTGCGCTTCACCGTCCGTGAGCGTGTTTTCACTTGTTGACCAGCCAGCAGTTGTACAAGGAACCAGCGGTGACAACATCCTCCTTCCTCTGTCCCAGTGCTGCCACAGAGGCACAGCTATCCTCCGAGCTGCCTCCTCTACCTGCTCTAACCACTCCTCCCCATCCTCCAAATTCCCCTGATTTATTCTTTCATTATCACTTACAGGCTTCTGCATTTGTCTTGCTACTTCATCATTTATTCTGCAGTTGTAATCTGATGCTGCTGTTGTAGAAAAGAACGTTTGGTTGAGGTAGTGTCTGTCCATTCCGGCCCCCTCCATCAATTCCTGAATAGCTGATATTGATATTTGATCCTGAATAACTTGATATTCAAGCAGGGGACTAACTTGTGGATTTGTGCTGTTCTGTTCATCCATTGAGAAAACCAGCTCTGATCCAGCAGAGTTTGACCCACATTTCCTCACCTGACCTAGCTGTTCTTGGTTGAGGTGCTGGTACCAGTTAAGTCCTCGAGAATCAGATCCCGCTTCGAGCGCGATCCTGTCGGTAAGCCCGTGCAGGCTCAAGCTCTTGCTGTAGGCCTCTGAGATGATCCGCTCCTCCACCAAACCCTCCAGCAGACCGTGGACCTCAGCGGCCGAGGCCCAGGTTAGAAGAAGCCTCACTTTGTCCAGAACCTCCTCGAACTGAGCCATAGCAGTGACATCTGCTCACAAGACACTAAGTAGTAGGGATGATATAATTTTAGTTTAGTTTTTTTTCATCCAGGAGGCGTTCTCATTAATAAAGGGAGGTGTTCTTGTGGCTGGACGGTAGGAGGTCTGTTCCACGAATTGTGTACAAATGTGAGAGAAACTGTGTGGAGCTGGTATTATTAGGAAGTGAGGTTAAATTATGCTTACACTAGGGGAGAATCTGAAAGGGGACATGATTTCAGTTTCACACACTTCAAGGCAGAAAATCAGTCCAGTTGTTTATAGCTGCATTGTTAATTTGCTCTAATATTGTCTTCTTTTTTGGGGGGCTACTTTAAAACAACTTTGAGTGCTGTATTACACCACAGAGTTACTTTTTCAACAACAACAAAAATACTTTTAACAAAGCTACAACACACAAACAGCCATCTGCTTAGAAATTGTTCATTATTCCACCGCTTCATCACAAATATTCACAACTTCTGCCCATGTTCTGATGCAAATCAGGTTTGTTTTACTGATTTACTTTATGTAATCACAGACATTTGTTCATTTGCGAATTCCCCATTCAGCTGAACATTACTTAACATTATTACACATTTACCTGCAATCAAAGACATACAGTTATTATTCTCACAGAAGGATTCTCAGAGTTCTCTTCGCTTTAGTCATGACACAAATGCGGGTGCGCAAACATGTGTCATTGGAGGAAGAAAAGGAGCCGCTGGTGTCATGGGACTGGAACTGGTTTGGTTGAACAATGCATTCCTCAGTGCCATACCCAGTAATCAACATGCTTCATTTAGTTTTATAACTGCAAGGCTAACGAAGGAAGAGCAGCTTGTTATGAAACTGTTCGAATGTCAAGATTTTCAAACCTTTCTGCTGCTTACTAGTGGAACTGATGGTTAATTTGTAATAATGGAAGACACTGAGCCTCCCAGGCAGCTCAAATCTTGTTTTAAAAAAATGACTTCAATCATTGAAAACTCTTCACTGCAGCGTTTTGTTCAGTGAAAATCCTGTCATGCACCTCCCGTATGAAGCTTCCTGTATCTGCAATACATCCTGTACCGATAACAACTGTATTGTAACAGAGGATGCTGACTAAAACACAACAAAAATCTTCCAAAAGCACAGTCCACTGTCACCGTATGTGCCCTAAATGTGCCAATACACTCACTGTGGCTATCGCTGTTTTGTTTGTTAGCAGGATGCAGACACAGTTTCACATGTGTTTTCTACTGAACCCTGGAGGAACTATGACTATGTTTACAAAAGCACACATCGTTCACACGCACTTGAAATTCTGGCAAGACTTGGCAGGCGTCTGCCCACGCCACCTAACCAAAAACCACCCAGATCTCAGCATCAGTGAAATATGTTGAACTGCAATGAAGTTTGGAGAGAAAAGTCCTCCACCAAAGTCAATTACAAAGTGATATGGATCTGCACCAAAATTTTAAGGGTTTTATCTGCTACCTTCCAATTTTCCATCCAGTTTCATGAAATACAGCTTGGCACTTTTTCCAGAATTTTGCTGGCAAACGCCCAAACAGACCAAGCAAAGTCAAAACAGAGCACCTCGACTCTCGCCCTGGCAAAGGAACAAGTACCTGAAGCAACACTGAAGACAAACCGATTGTGTTTGAAGACGACATGTTTCGTAAATCTGATAGAAAATTTATGGACATTTGTTTCACTGGGTCACTGGTTTGGTCATTTATTTTGCAAATCAGTTAAATCAAGTCCATTAAACAAAACAGGGAATCCACCTTTAAATGTAACGCTGCTGCTGCCGTATTTACTGCAAATCAGGAAAAACTGAATCTCTTAAGTGGCAACTACACGTGATATAAAATGAACTTGTGAAGAAAATTAAAACAACACAACTAGAATTAGTAAAACATGGCCAGCATTCTAGATGTTACAAAATGAATAACCATCACGACATCTGTAAATGTGAAAAATTAAGCTCCCGACCACACACAATGTACACAGTTAGACTTCAAAAAGGTTGTTTGTATGTCAGTAGTAGAAATATGTCAACAAAGCAAACCAAGTGCATAGATAAGAAGGTTGACTCTAGTTTATAGTGGAAAGATTACAATCACTGAGAAAATGAAATCTGATGAGAAGCTGTAACTTGTATAAGATCATCTGGTGTCCTAAATGGGTAAAAAAAAACCCCAAAAAACAGTTGAAGGTGACATTATTTAACTTTCTCTCTTGGCTTACTATTACTTCGCAAACAAGATTTAGGGCAGCAAAGTGTTCTTGTACGAAATGGTTGAAAGTCTCTGGAACTTTATTTACAAAGTTTACCCTGAACAAACATCATCTCAAATACAATACTGAACAATCCTGTTTCCAAGAAAGATGCTGTGTAGAGTGTAAATAAAACCAGAATTCAATTATTTGCATTCAAACCTCATTTAACTGAAAATAGTAGCCAACATGAACTGTTAAAACTGAGAAGTGGTGTTGTTGGGACAATAGCAGCAAAAGACTGGAGCAGTTGGTAGAACATTGGACAGCTCATTGGGTTAATTAGCAGTGAGTCAGTAACATGTTTGAGAAGATTTTAATTTTGTAAGATTTCTGTACAGATTTAAAATAAAATTGCACAGATTTGATCATCTTAAGTACACAATATCTTTAAAAGATTCAGGAAATCTGGGAAAATCTCGTCGAAAACCTAAACTGAATGACCATGATCTTCAGGTCATCATGAAAAACCGACGTGACTCTGTGGAGGAAACCCAGTGTCGTATGTTGTAATTGTATTTTTTTCTGGAAACACTGTTATACAAGAAACCGACGATAAACTTCAATATCCTTCATATCATGTGGGATCCTGATATTATGAGTCATACAAATGTCCCTCAATTAAAATGAACTGCTACAAAGAGAAATCTACTATTCTGCTTTTTTTTCAGTTAACAGCATGTAAAGACAAACGATAAATGGAATGTATCCGGCAACGTGTGTTATCGGTGTAGCCCAAAGCCTGATGTATATTTTATTATTGGTGCCATAAAACTTATTATTACTCAAAAATCACCCATAAATCCTTCCTCTCCGCGCTGCATTAGGCCACACTTCGCAATATTTCCCCTTCATTAACACGAATCACCGAGTCTGACCCACTAACATCATTCTTCGGCTGTAAATACTCCCACGTGTGCCAAGCGTGTTTAAACGTAGCTGAAATCAGACAAATAAAAACACAGTAGAAAGTCCAGTGCTCTGCTGTTTTACAAAATTACTGTGAAATTTGTAGCCCATTTTTCTCCATTAGGATTATTTAAAAAAAACATTCTCAAAACTAGACCAAAGTGCTTATGTAGATGGGACCACTTTTATTATAAAGCTGTAACAAGACGAATTAATTACTTTATCACAAAGAGGAACTAGCTTAAATTGTATTACAACTGAATCATTACTATTCATTGTTATACATTCGTCTATTTTGGACAAACTCCTCAATATATTCTCAGTAAATGCGGCACTGGCAGAGGAACCATGGCAGATCTGACGAACTCACCAACTGTCCTTATAACACTGAGATAATTCTGACAGGCGTTGCTAATCACTGTCATACTGATTTTATGAGCTTTTCTGTGCATCTTTTTTTTAAAGTTATTAAATTGAGCAGTTTTCTACAACACTCTTATCATGTGATTTGGCTGATCCAATATGGCCGCCATCCACCGGGCTCAGCTCTGCTCCTCTGTCACTCTGTTGGAACAGTAGTCCTGGATACCTGAGAGCAAAAGAGTGCAACAATGTTGAAAATAATAGCTTTGATGAAACTTTTTAATACAAAAATGAATATCATTGTGTGTGCGTGTGTCTCGTTGCATTGTTTAAAAAGCAGTGAGTCAACCGTCTGTCATAGAAACCACATCTGATTCCTCATGTTTAATCTGAAGCTGTAAGTGGGTTATTTAATTTCGATACAATTGTTCTCTTCCTCTTAATTCGACTGCTTCCCATTTATAAAGTCATCACTTCTCCTTTCGATATGTTCAATAGGGAGTTGAGCTGATACATAAACTATCAAGTCATCAAAAATTGATGGGGGACTTCACTGGAAGAATGACTATGTCGTAGTCTGCATCTAACTTCCGTACCCTGGAATGCATACCAAAAAAACTAATATGATGTAAGAGGCTACCAGCTGACGTTGAAGACCCTCGTGTATGTGTGGCACACGTTTCCCTCAACGCACTCACTTTGCACGATTCTCTCGTAGGCCTGAGCAGCAGGAGAGTCAGGTACTTCGCTGAGGAAGGACCTGCCCTCGTCGCAGCTCCGCGCTATCCTCGGGTCTAGAGGTACTTTTCCTAACAGCGGTAGATTTAGATCTGCGCACATTTTCTCAGCACCCCCGCTGGTGGGAGGGAAGATCTGCGACGTGTTCTGCGAGAGAGAAGACAAAAAAATTCAAAGCCATGCATGCATTTTCAGATTCTGCAGACCTAACGTGAAAAGGTGCTGTGCTGCTCAACACATGTGTGATTGTTGAGGAAAGAAAAACATTACAAAAGCTAAAATTTTTCCAGATGTAAATCTAGGCACTGTTGAAATCCCCACAAAGTCAGACTCACCACAGTAGCAAAGCCCTGTGAACCTGGAATGCACTCACATGATCTATTACAAAAAAGCCATTTAACCTATTTAGATTTTTTTTGTTTTTCTGTCTCTCTTAGTATTTTTTTTCTTTGTTGTGACATTCAATTACAGAGGAGGGGATTTCAGTGTGCAAAACTAACACAACTGTCTGAAAGTCAGACATTTTCAAAGTTGTTGTGGAGTTTTTGAAAACTTTTGAAAAATTCTGAATCTGAAGCAGTGAGACATTTTAAAAGGCCTATATTCTGTTATGATACCTTAAAAACAGCCTGATGGAACCATGAACTTAGAAAGTCAGGAGATTTGTAAGGAAAAAATGAAGGTAAAAAAAAAAACGCTGTCTTCAATGCTGTGCAGAGAAAGTTGTACTCTGAGGCTAGACTCATACTAAAACAGCATTTAAAGTGTTTTAGCACCTTCCAGACATAATAGTTTTTAACCTGTAAAACTGCCTCTTTTATTGTTGTAATGTTATTGTACACTGTATTTTTTGGTTTATTTGTTCGTCTTTTGTTTTGTTTTTACTCTTATTACTTTTTATCATTTCAAAAGCCTCCTGTGGACAAGTGTTGCGAATTAACATGAGCTAAAACACTTAAATAATGCATCTGGTTTGTCCAATGCAATTGTGATGTCCACATCAAATAAACAATAAATAAATAAATATCATGTACATTCACTGGGCATACAGGTGCCAGAGTAACCAAGAAGCAGAGGGCTGGTTGCTTAGTTGTAAAAACATTCTATGGAGGAGAAGAAGAGCAAAAGAAAGATCACATATTTTTGTATTTGTAGTGACAATGGGATGAAAATGTTGCTCAGAGTAAGTTACACAGACTGATGACTCTGTTTTCTTTCAGAAAAGGCTAAAACAGGCTCAGCTGCATTTCCAAAAGTCTCCATTTTAGGGGTTCTAAAATGACAAAGTAGTGCAGACTCTAGGTGTAAACGTAGCAAAGGTTATGCATTTTAAAATGTATTAGTTCAGCTGTAGCCCTAGTTTAATCACACTGCCATTGATTCTATCAAGCACCACTGTGCATCTTGTCAGTGACCTTGCATTTGGGACAGACGAAGCCGCTCATGTTCTCCACCACTCCGATGATCGGCAGCTTAACCTTCTTACAGAACCTGATTTCCTTTCTCACATCCTGCAGCGACACCTCCTATAGAGAGAGGAACACAAACAGAAAAGGAAAGGCAAAGCGGGCATGGGCGGGGGCGGAGGGTGAGTGTGAGGGTGGGGGGAGGGTGGCAGAGAGTACAACAGGAAAAGAAAGAGGATCGGATTAAGTAGTTTGTTCTAACTGCTATCAATGAGCACACCGAGTAAAGCTGTTGGCACAAATAAACTGGGCAGCTTCCACATGTAAATACGCTGAAATGCTTCATAGTGAAGGAAACACTCGTCGTTGATATCAGACTGGTTGCTTTATTTGGGTAATTCCCTCCTGACGTGTGGTTTGCTTTAGTAAAGCGAGAGTTGGAAGAGTGAGGAAGTGATTCTGCTGCTGTCTGACCTCACAGATTGCAGTCTAAATTTAAGCATCAGGAAATGTTTCACTCATTACAGCACAAACTGATTTTAGGACACCAAAAACTCAAACCTGTTTGTATTCAGTGCTGAACATAAACTGGAATAAGTCACATTTAACCAACCAGACTCAAACAAGAATAATAAGTGGGAAAACGGCACTGAAATCTATGAAACAGATGGAATCATTGTGTAAAAACGTCTCTGTGGACATTTAATATTTCAGATAAAAGCAATACTGCAGGATTCTCTTCATTATACCTGCATGCAAGAACATATCCGGCTAATTAACAGGTGTGGTGTTCAGACGCAGTGTTTATATGCTTTGGTCTGAATGTGTATCATTGCTATGGTGCCAGACTTTGTGGTGCTTGTTTAGACCACACCCCGACCGACCAATGAGGCCGCGCGTCCTTGTTACATAATCAAATCATTACCAAAGGCGAGGTAAGCGGGTTCGCGAGATACGTTGAGCTTTAAGTGAGAGTTTTCAGTGTCACAAGGGGTATCTCTCTTAACCTGCTACATTACCATGGTAACTGCTGTTGCAAAGCTAGATCACCATGGTAACTGATGCTGTGGTGCTAACCTGGTCGACAGCAGGTTATGTTCAGAGTTCTGGATGTAAATCAGCTGTAAGACTCAAATCGTTTCCTGGTGATTCTTTTCGAGTGATACAGATTCTCAGCTCGGGGAATATGTTGTATCTGCAAAACCTTGTTGAGCTGTACGCTAGTAATCCACACGTATACAGCTGGTGATGCAGAAATCACAGAAATATGCTTTTGTCTTTGGTCCTGACTTACTGACAAGCCTGTTTACTGCAGCTGATAGAAAACACATCATAAAACCGATTGTTCTACTGGTATTTATCAGAGAGAAAATTAAATCACTAACACTAATTTAACTTTGATTTGGCCTGAAAATTAAAGTGAAATCCCTCATTATGGGACAGAGTCAGACCTTAATGCACTTCAATACAATATGCGTTTGAACATATGAAGTTTAAAGTTTAACAGCTTAAATGTGCAGCTGCATTGATCGGTAGAATAAATATATTAACCCACGATGAACAGGTTTCTACCAGCATTCCTGTCTTGCATCATTTGCAGTAGCAGTGCTTTTGACCATCATATATTTTTATATTCCTCATTGTTCCCAATCGCGACAACCTGTCGACTGAAGCAGCTGCACGCAATCTTTTCATTTTGTGCGGAAGAAGAGTCACATGATACGTTTAATGAAGCTTGAAGCAGAAAGTTTGAGTTAACAAAGAAACTTAATGACCACCATTGTGATACCCGTGGTCTCTGACTGGGGCTTTAGTTTTTGTTGAGCCGACTTACACGACGAAATCCCAGCTATGTCAAACTTGCTTCATAGCGCAGCCCTCAGGTGAAGAAAAATGTATTGTTGTATTCATAACATAAAATTCATTCATTCATTCTTCTACTGAATACCACCTACAGATTCTTTAAAAACCTTAAGAGGAGGGTTTTGTTTGTTTGTTTGTCTGCACAGCTTTTCTGTATTTTATGATTGTGTTGGTAAAATTTCAATTCTCTGACTGTGTTTTGTGCAAACAAATACCTGCTAAACATGCTGAACCGTAATCTTTTATGGGGCCATGACAGGCTTTGTTACATCAGCACAGATGTTTATCGGTCTACAATTAAAAAGGCATTCTTTATTGGCTGCCATGTTGTAAAAACATTTAGGGAAATAAAAACAGTTTTATCAGCCACAGTGCCACGATAATGACTGAAAGGATGTAATTATCTGCCTGTACCTGGACAACACTGTGTCACATAGAACCATTTATATCATGTATATAAAACAGTTCATAAATAATTCTGGAATAATAAAGTTTATGCTCATAAAATTGTTTTGGTTAAGGTTAGGAAAAGGTATGAAAGTGCAATTTAAGAACTAGCGATGGTCATTTTCTCTTCATCTGCCTCTACTATTTATATTCTTACTTTTCATTAGCCCCCACAAGTGAGTGGTACTTTAGAGTTTTTTTGTGCAGTGGATTAAACCTGTAGCTGAAGAGAGGACTGGTGTCTAGACTATAAAAAACTTCACATTGAACATGGGCTAGAAATACATTAGCATACTGTTGTGTCACAAACAGACAGACATACTAATTTCCCTACGTGCACAGCTGCATAACGCAACACAGCCGTTACAGGTGGGCGTTTCGTACCTTCTAGCTCGCAGACAGCTTTCATTGTTCCTATTAAGTGACTATAAGAATCACTATCCTAATTACTCACGTTACACATGAACCACCGGCTGAAGGTGCAACTTTAGGCAGTTGCAAATCATTCTGGGAAATGTAGAAAAATCACCAACTGAAGTACAAGAGGTCAGATCAGGAGTGAAAGTAGTCGCAGACTATTTTGAGAATAGACCCAGACCATATAAGGTGGAATTTCCCTTTAGAGTTACTGGTCTTCGTTTATTTTGAGATGATTTGGATAGTTAATCATTTATTAGGTTGTGTGCTTTAACGCAACATAACATAACATATTAAGGTGTCAAGTCTGAACTTTGTTTAAGTAGCTTTATAATAACTATCTGTACTCTTCAGCAGCTCCGTCCCATGTTTCTTCACTGTCTTCAAGATGGCGGCAGTGAGTGCGGCAGCCGTTGTACCTGCTCCGGCACTAATGCAACTTTTTTAAAAAATTGTTTTTGTTTATCTTTTTGCTTTAATTTATCTTTTTGTACGGCGTTCACCATGCTGTGTCCTCGTCGTATCAAATACGACAGAGACACCCTGGTGAACATTGGCTTATTACCACAAAACAACAGTTTTTCTGCTGGTGCGTCCTGGCCCGGTGAGATCCTGCGGGGGGCCGTCAACAACAGCGACACAGGACGCCGGCAGTGTAACAGGCCCCGGGGGAAACGAGCCGGCATTAGGAACAGGTTGAGGCTACGAGCACACCAACCACCACTGCCTAGCATCCTGCTCGCGAACGTCTAGTCCCTGGACAACAAGCTGGACGAGCTCAGAGCCACGATCAGGTACCAGAGGGACACAAGAGACTGCAACATCATCTGCCTCACAAAGACATGGCTGACCCCCACCATACCGGACCACGCCGTTCAACCAGCGGAGTTCTTCACAGTTCATCGTATGGACAGAACGGCTGAGTTGGGCAAGTCCAAATGCGGGGGTGTCTGTCTCATAACCAACAACAACTGATGCAGAGATGTTGTGTGTCCTCTCTAAGTCCTGCTCGCTCAACCTGGAACTTTCAACCATCGAATGTCGGCCTTTTTACCTCCCCCGGGGATTCACCTCCGTTATTTTCAGCGCCGTCTACATCCACCTGCAGGCGGACACGGACGCTGCATTAGCCGAGCTACATGAGGCTATCTCCAGCTACCAGGCTAACCACCGGGGGGCAGCCCTCATCGTGGCCGGGGATTTTAACAGTGCCAACCCGAGGAAGGTGATGCCGGAACTTCGCCAGCTCATTGCCTTCTCCACCAGCGGAGATAGAACTTTGGACCACTGTTATTCTCCCTTCAGAGACGGCTATGCAGCAAAGACTCAGACCACGCCTCCATCCTCCTTCTGCCCAGGTACAAGCAGCGGCTGAAGCGGACAGCCCTGGTGGAGAGGGAAGTGTCGTGTTGGTCTGACCAATCAGAGCAGGTACGCAAAGCATTTTACTGCACGTTAGTCCTGCAACAAGATCGGACAGGGTGCGGGGCCGAACCCTGAAGTCATGTGCAGACCAGCTGGCAGGCGTGTTTATAGACATCTTCAACCTGTCCTTACAGCAGGCTGTAGTCCCCACATGCCTCAAGTCTACCATCATAGTGCCTGTGCCCAAGAAACAGGCAGTAAAATGCCTGAATGACTATCGCCCAGTTGCCTTGACACCAATAACAATGAAGTACTTTGAGAGGCTGGTTCTTCACTACATCAAGGGCACCATTCCTGCTGATCTGGACAACCACCAGTTTGGTTACAGAGTGAACAGATCAACGGAAGATGCCATCTCAACTGTACTGCACATGGCTCTGTCCCACCTAGAGAATCCCAACACCTACGTTAGGATGCTATTCATTGATTTCACATCATCCACACTCACACTGAGTACAGGTGCACCTCAGGGCTGCGTCCTCAGCCCGGCCCTCTTCACCCTTTTCACACATGACTGCACCCCCATCCACCCCTCCAACACAATTGTTAAGTTTGCTGATGACACCACCGTAGTGGGATTAATAACTGACAACAACGAGACCCACTACAGGGAGGAGGTCCAGCGCCTAGTCAGCTGGTTTTCCAAAAGTGACCTGGTACTGAATACTACCAAGACATTGTGGACTTCAGGAGTGCCAGGAAAAAAGGCCAGCAACATTGCCAGAGACCCCAGAGATTCAAGACTTTAAAAACACAAACCAACAGACTACAGAACAGCTTCTTTCCCAGAGATGCTGCCTCCATCACTCCTCCCACCCACTTTTTAAAAAAAAAAAATATTCCATGTTGCACTGCTACTGATTGTTATGAGTTGCCACACAAGTTTCATTGTATTTCATACACTGACAATAAAGCCTCTATCTGTTAAGTTGAGGTGGAGTAAAGATGTGACCATGCAAGTGAACAACATAATATCAAGTTTTTAAAAAAGAATGCAGCCTATAAAAGCAGATGGACACAGGAAAACTAGAAAACGACCCATCTGACTGAGGAGTCGTGTGATAAAAGCAAAATTATTTGCATGGTGAAGAAGAAAAACTCTTCATGACTGCATAGCAAGTCAAGACTGCTCTATAGGATGCAGACAAACATCTTGCCTTGTCATTGAGCAAGAGAATGACAAAATAGAAAGAACAGGTTAAATTTCTCAAAAACATACAAAAAGAATCTGTGTGATAAAGTTCTATGATGTGACGAAACAAAAATCTACCTAAAATTTAAAATTATAAAAAAAAAGGGCTCATGACTCAAAGGACATCACCTCATCTATCAAACATACCAGAACTTCTGTTGTGGATCTCACATGAACGGATGAACCTGGCATTTATTGCTAACTTCCCATCGGTTCACTCAGATTCAGACAAATGTGTTGAAATTCATTGGATGACATTTTTATCATTCAGCAGGACAACAATCACAAAAGCCAAAGCAACCAAAGAGCTGTTCAGGCCTCAGAGTTCACCAGGAAAATAGATCATTTAAAGACCTAAGGCAGTTATTGACTGCAAAGAATGCTCCACAAAATATCAAATATGATGATTTTTCCTTATATCATGTAGATTGCATCCAAATACAGTTAAATATCAAACTTTTTTTCCCGAAAAGAGCAGTTTCTCCCGCACAGAGGCCTTTATATAACTGCTCAGATAAAAGCAAAAACTTTAATTTCGTGCCCATCATCATATTTGAAACTGAATGTGCTGACAGTTTGTGTTTGAGCATGTGTCTGTGTACCTGTGGTGTGGTGACGATGACGGCTCCATCCACGTTAGTGGAGCTCAGATACTGGACTATGGACAGGTGTTCGTCGGAGGTGCCGGGCGGAGTGTCAACGATGAGGTAGTCCAGTTCCCCCCAGTCAACGTCCCTCAAAAACTGCTTGATCATCCCTGATTGGACACAAAAGTCACACTGGTTGTTGTGTTGTGACATTTGGAAAGCATTAAATAACCACCACACACACATGTATGTTAACACACCGTTCTTCTTCGGTCCTCTCCAGATCACAGCATCATCGGGGCTGCCGAGCAGGAAGCCAATAGACATGACTGCCAGGTTGTCCTCCACGTACTGCAACACAGAGGCACGTTTTCATTTAGAGCATGAGAGGTTTCCTTTAAAAAATTTAACGTTTAAGCACAGTTTGAATTGACTTACCACTGGAGACCAGCCTGAACCGCTCTGGTGAACCTGCAAATGATAACAAAATGCTCAAAGATGAACAAGATGTATGATAAAACAGAAATCATTTTTTCTTGTGTTCTCTCTGAGAACTACATGTTGTGGAAAAGCAGATGTTCCAACTTATCTTTACTTAATAATATGTTTTGTACTTGAACTATCCTGAAGTGATTCTTACTGACATCTTACCTGTTCTCCCTCTAAGCCCATGATCCGCGGGATGGATGGACCACAGATATCTACATCCAGCAGTGCAACCTAAAACCAGAAAAAGAGACAGAGAGCAGGCAAACAAACACTCTTTAGTCTCCAGAGTAGCGCAGTGTGTGGCAGGGTAAACTTAAACTTGGGCCCAGTTTTGCAATCGTGTACAAATGTCTGATGGAGCACTGAGGGTGGGGAAGACGAATTCTTGACATTTCTCAAAGAGTAAACAAAGAATTTCTCGACTACTCGACTGAGTGTGAGGTCACACTGAACAAGGGCTGGAATTACAAAATGCTTTAACCACTTCTTAAAAAGGCAATAATTGTTGCTAACTCCTTTCAGACATGGTCTCCTTTCATAAATCTGACAGCATCTGAACGTGTTGGCTTCATGTCTAAATAGCAGTTAGCAACTTTCGACATGGCTGAAAGTGACGCAACAAGTCTGAACTGCATGCTGTGGCATTAACAGAAAGAAAGACCGCAACAAGTGGCATAACCGGAGTCCTGTGAAGTCCTTTAAGAAAAGCTTTCTCCACATTTCAGCACCAATATTGCTCCAAAGGCTACAGAAAGACGCCAGTTCAAAAAACACAGCTTGCATGCCAAAATCACAAAAGACCTTCCTCATCTACTTTGCTGTAAGGCAGGGGTGTCGGACTCATTTTAGTTCAGGGGCCACATACAGCCCAATTTGATCTCAAGTGGGCCGGACCAGTAGCATCACAGCATTACAACGTATAAACAACTCCAAATGCATCCCTTTGTTTTAGTGCAAAAAAAATGCAACTACATTCTGAAAATGTTCACCTTTAGTGAACTATTATTATTTCACAAAACATTATGAACAACCAGAAATTTCTTGAGAAAAATATGTGCAGTTTTAATAACACTATGCTTCAGTTATCATTTACACACATGCATTACAATTTACAGACCACAGTGGACTACAAAGGCACAAAACATTCAGTCACAGGTATCTGGAGCTGAACAAGATAGTATTTTATTTTATGATCAAAACAAGCTGTCAGGATCTAGAAATGATTTTTCCTGACAACCTGAGCTGACAAACCACACCATAAAACTAAAGTAGGAACTATTAAAGAACACTTTAAAAGTATCCCGCAGGCTGGAGTGGACCCTCTGGCGGTCCGGTTTTGGCCCACAGGCCGTATTTTTGACACCCCTGCTGTAAGAGGTTGTATTAATGAGGCTCAACAATAATAAATAAATTGACAAAATGGTGAAATGCTCTGTGAATCAATCTGTTAGTTTTTGGCCTATTTTGGTAAATTTAACCAAGGACCTAAATCTAAAAGTTAGAATTAAGATCCCTTTATTTTTAAAAGTTTCCCCGAGCTCAGCGAGTTAAAATCTACTTTTATATTTTGTGTCCAGAAAGTCTTAAAAGAAAAAAACAAAAACAAAAACAAAAATGCACAACAGAGGGACGAGGAGATGTTTTTGTGAGGTTGTGTCCACATTCTTTGTGTTACAGCAGTTATGTATGCAGCTAAACATGGTTTTGCACATAAGCGGTTTGAGAGACAGTGATAGGTGTTCGATCCTGCTCGTCTGTACGGAACATCAGAAACACTCAAATGTGCAAAACATACATAAGTAACACCTGAAACCAGCTAAATCTGAGAACTAATTAATCTTTACTTCAGGTGAATCAAATTTCAATTTGCTCTGGCTGTACATCCCACATCGAGTCTGTCTGTGTTGACCGACAGCAAACAGCAAAGATCTGGAAGGTCTATGGCTCAAAGTAAACTGGCTTTAGACACTCTGCAGCATTAGATGATCGGGAAGTTACCTTACAAGCTCCATATCCAGCATTAAAACTGCAGTAGATGTCTGTCTGTGTGACTTGTAACGTCCAACGGTATCTTACTGCTGCTTCATTAAATACTACAGACTGTTACGTGACTGTTATGAATTGATCTCAACTCAATCAATCGCTAAATGAACAAATTCATACAATTTCATTATTGACAGTTAGTGTTGTCTTCACGGTAAAAGACTGGAGTTCTTAGAATTAAAAAATAAATACATTTCAAGTGTAAAAATCTGCCCTCGTACCAAACTTCATTGCCTTCATCCTCTGTCAGACCACGTCTGCAGCGACCTCTAGTGGCATTAAATTGAATCGTGGGGTTTAAAAGAACCATGTGATATTGTTCCAGATAACAGTTTTAAACTCTCTTTAAAAAACAGAAGCTCTAACGCAGTTCCCTTCCTATTTGAACCCAGAGAGAAACATTATTCCAGCAATAATATGTGTAAATCTGAAGTCAGTAGTTTTATTTGTGGAACAGTGTGTGACTAATCTGGTGCCTCGGAGCTGGTGTAAACGATAGCTGAAGTATTACCTCCTTTGTGGTGTCACTGGCGAGGGCGTGGGCCAGGTGTGCACTAAAGGTGCTCTTCCCCACTCCTCCTTTTCCAGACAGCACCAGGATCTTGTGTTTCACTGTTGACAGCTTTATTCCTATTTCTGCAATTGCTGAGGTGAGACATGAGGCGGAGACATGAAGATAAATGGAACCACAAGAATCACATTAGACAAAACAAGGCCTCAGTTTGAAATTGTATTTTTTTAAAAACCTACCTCAGTTCATTACTGATCCAATATGTATTTGTTGAACAGCCCTGCCTTAATGTAAACAGCAGTAAGATGTGGTCTTACCAGGGTCAGGGGCCTTTGTGGCTCCAGAAGCACACAGTTTCTGGTTGGGACAGCCCTGACATGATGAAGACTTTCCTGCTTGCTCGCTTGTTGTACCCGGACAGTCTAAAAGAGGAAAACAGAGTCCAATGATCAGACTGATCAGAACCCAAAACATGATCTGGGCCCAGTTCTGGTGGCTGATGCTGAACTCAAGTCTGTAGTTAAACAATATTTCCTTAAGTTCTTCAAACCATAATGCCTGCTGGTGAAAATGCCATCAAACTCAGATTTTATTTAGATTCTAGTGAAGATGTCAGACTTTTTACTCAACATGTCAGGATGAATTTTGGAAGATTTGTGTATAAAATGTTACACAAGGCGTAAAGACTTAATTGTTCAAAATCACAATTTGAAGCAATGCAAATCGGAAAGGCTACAATTTAGGATATACTACAGTGCATCTGACCTAGCGTTTAAACTTTCATGTCAGTGGTTTTATAAACTCATGTTATCCTCCTTGTGTGACAGTCATGCTTTTGATGGCTTCTCATCTGATAATGCTTCATCACTTGTTGTAAATCTATCACACAGTACATACAAACAGAAGCTTTTTGTAAAATTAAATTGCAAATTAAATTGCGATTGCAAGATCTATCAGAAAAATTACAATTACATATTTTCGCCCAGTTGTTCAGCCCTGATTTCAAGAGTTATTTTATTTCATTAACTGACAGTTTATCACCGAAAGTATGTCACTTACTTCAAATGAGAGATGACTAAGATTAATTTATTGAGACTGATTAAATGGTAAAACAAATAATAATTAATATAAGGGGTTATGAATTCTGTGATAAGTAAAACACATACATACATATATATATATATATTACATTATTCACACAATGTCTTACTGCTAAACGGTTTCATTATCAAGAAATAACGGATTACATCAGCTGTAACTTTCCACACTGACCCTACAGAACTGTCACCATGACTCAGCAAACTTTCACGCATTTTATAACACAAATACATTCAGTGGCACTTTAATTAATTCTGTGCATTTATCACATCTTAGTCAGGCAAAAACGACTTTTTACTGCAATGACTTTAATTTACTCACGAAAAAGACATAAATAACTGCGTCATTTAACCTCTTACATCAACTAGGGATTTTTGGGGGGTAAATTTTAGCTAAAATACACCAGAAATATTAGCGAAAACAGGAACAGTCTGACTGATATCTGCCCTAAATGCAAACACATTTAAAACTATTATGAATGTAGCGTCAGTAAATCCATCAGTTATACAAACATCAGTAAAAGAGGAAAATATGGACGTTTATCTAAAATTTAATACAACTGTAAAGTTCAGACAATATTTATAAGCACCAAAAAACAATTCAACTAAAGTATTTGGGGCATAAAAATCCCAAAAAAGCAACTTTAAACACTCACGTTCCGGTGCGTTGTCTGGTACGTCTGCCATCTTTACACAGGTGTCCCTCCGCTAATGTCTTCCCCCTTCAAAGGTTCCGGATACAGAACCTTAAATCCTCAGGTCATCTCTTCTTCTGGATTTGTAACGAAACATACCCAAAAAGAAACACTGAAGATATTCTAAGTAAATAATAATTAATAAAGATAAAAGTGGAGCATTTTGTAGGAAAAAAACATGTAGATTTTTTTTAAAAAAAGAAAACAGTAAGAAAGTTGTCAGGAAAACAGTTATATTTCAGGGAAAACTTAATTTTTTTGACAAAGATTTGTGCTAAAAAAAAAAAGTGAGCTCATTCATTAATCTTTAAAATTGTATACACAGAGTTGTATGACAAAGCATTGATATCCTAGGGTGCCCCTATAACTCACCTGGTTGAGCGGGGGACTCATGAATAGGGGCTATAGTTCCATGATGCAGCGATCGTGAGTTCGACTCCTGCTCACTGCAATTTCCTGCAGGTCTCCCCCCTTTCCTGTCTCACTCTCTCACTGTCCTAACTAATGAAGGCAAAAACGCCAGGAAAAATCATCTTAAAAAAAGTATTGTTTTCCTTTGTCAACCACAATCCTCCAAACTTTTCACATTTTCCACCTACATCTGTACAAATAAGTACCACAGACAGTTTCCCAGGCTGTTGCCTTTTATTAACAAAATAGATTAGATTGTTTTGTAATTTTATTAAAAAGCTAGCATGTGTAAGCTGGAAAACATTATTGTTGCTGAGCATTTGACAGTATTCAGTGTTGTTTTTGATCCACACTGTTTCATTTAACTAAATTAACAACAAGACGCTAATTTATTGTTCCAAAATTAGCTCATCATTAGAACTCAGCTGTCCACTAGGGAGTGATGGTGATTCTGTTTTGCCAGGAAAAGCTAAACTCACATAGACTACACATACAGGACAAAAACAGACAGAAAAATGTCTAAGGTATGTTATTATTCAAATTTAATACAAATCTGAATTCAAGTTGCAGAAGTGAACACATTAATGACAGTTTCTGTTGACACAAAGCTTGTTGTAATCAAGTTTAACTTGAAGGCTGCTCCGTTTGTCATTGCATCATTATGTTCATGGTAATGTGAGGAAATCTGAGGTTCATAACACAGAACAGTGATTCAGAAGGACCTCTGAAGTCATTTTGCTGTAACGTCCAATGAGTAACATTATCCTCAGGAAACATCAACAGCACAGCCGACATTTATACATATAATTAGACTAATAACAGTTAATTTGACAACGCTGTATCTTCTAAAAAAAAAAACACTAGAAAGGTTTGCACACCAGGTTATGTGTGTCTTTGTAGTTTCAAATTCCATCCATTCAAACACATTTAAACTTTATGAACAAGCTGCTTTATTGGCTCACTGACAGCACTGAGGAGCTGATTGGTCGACAGAGCGTTGCTCGTCTGACTCTGTAATCAGAGAACAAAGGAGATGTGTTTGCAAGAATTTGCATGTGTGTCTGTGTATGGCTGCACATTCTGTCTGTGTGAGTTAAATAATAACAATAATTTTAAAAAGTCCTGTTAGTTTGTGCAAGAGTCGTTAAATAAGGATCATTGCTGGTATATACTTTTCTAAGAGCTGCAAATTTGTGTAGCTCTTGTGTTTGTGTGTGTTTTTGTATGTCCGTGAGCCTTCCCCGCCTCCAACTGTTTGCACTGTCGAGACTGTGTAACGTGATATTTTCTTTGTGTTAACTCAACGGCCAAGCTTGTTCACACAAACCATTAACAAGCTTCATTCACTGCTCACCGCTGCTTTCACGTGCACACGGCAGCAGAACATAGCGTATTAAAACTAGAGTTGTGTTGTGTTGTCTGGGCACTGATCTGTGCATCATGGTGGATGCATCAAATAGAAAACTCATTTCACAAAAATCCCATGAGTGTGTTTCTATGAAATGCATCTGATGTGTCATATCTGTATGAACAGGACAGAAAAAAATGACTTTAATATCCTTCCTCTTTCCTCTTTAGTATTCCTCCCCCTGCCTCTCCACACCCTTTCATGGAAGCACTGAAAATAGAGAAGCAGTTCTTTGAAAAAAGAGAAAAGACGATGACATACTCCTGGGGACATTGCTCGGATAAACTGTTAACTGGAACTATGTATCATATATTAGACATTATTATTCACATGAGATAATGGATTTATTGACAGGGAGCCAAATTACATTTTAGTTTCTGTATTGCCAGTGAGTTTTAATGTGTATTGAGCATATTTGTAGAATACAGGGATAACACAAGTGAACTGATGGCGAAATGAATGAAATGAAATGAAATGAAATGAAATGAAAAATACTTTATTTATCCCAGAAGGGAAATTCAATTTCAAATTCAAGCTATGAAAACAAAACTGACTCTAACGAATTTTGAGTTTCCAGTCTTCATGCTAAGCTGAACTAACAGATAGTATAAAGCTGAACTTTATTCATCCGAAAAGGAAATTCTTGAGCCAGATATTGTTCATAAAAAAATGCAACAACATGAGCTCAAATACTTTACCTAATAAAATGCCAATAAGACATAAGCATGGTGTACGTATAAAAATTAAAAAAATATGTAAGCTAAAGTAAAAGTAGAATAGAAAAATTAGAAGTACTGCTGGCAATGTTAACAAAATAATATTGCACACTATTTAAATATTGCACAAGAGACTGAAACTGATATTGAGCATAGACAATAAATACCTTGTTGTCATTGCACCATGTACAATGAAATGAAGCAGCAGCTGCATTGACAAAATTGAACAACAGTTTTTTTTTAAAATGAAAAAAGGATTGTGCAAATATGAAAGTAGAAAAAACAAGAAAAAAATCACATGTGCAAGTGTAAGCTACAAGAACTATGATGTAGGTTGTTGTCATTTGGTGTTTTAAAATCACTTTAAAAAAAACAGAAATGTAGCTGATGTTGCATTTCTGGATATTGCACACCGTTGAACAAAAATGCAATTTTACATACTACTGATAAAGTAATATTGTGATAAAAATATTGATAATATTGTTGAGTGTCAACTGTCCTTTTGTCAGAAAGGGAATGAGTTCTATAGTTTGAAACAGGCTGCTGGTTTTAGTGTTAAATTTATTGGACAGATATCAGAATGGTGTTAATCTTCTCATCTAATTCCAAAGAGATGAGTTACTTTAACACAGCTGGCATGAATAAAAATCATATAAAATATTTAGGGTTTATTCTCTATAATAATAATAATAATAACCATATCTAAACAGTTGTGTCATTTTTTTCTGTGACATTTGACTGATGACATCAACCGTCAAATCTCTGGACGGTGCATCAGTACATCACGAAGTGACACACACACACACACACACACACACACACACACACACA